TGTGAAAATAGACATTCTTTCTTTTGAAGAAATGACAAATTAAAAAACTTGAACATTTTGCAATTAGGTTTATTTTTTATTTTATGGATTTTTTTGTAGAAATATCCAATACTTAATATCTCGTGAAGTATTGTAATAACATTAAATTAATCATTTGTATGTGTTATAAATACCAAAAAACTATTTTGTATTCATTTTCCGTCTAGGACTGGTATTGCTTATAACCATAGCACTAAATAGATTTTTTTTTTAGTTTTCTTTATACATTTTAGTTATTCATACTTTTCTTGTCATCTTGTAGGAACAAAAAATGACCGAATCGAAAACTTAATATATCATGCTAAAAAGTACGCAGCAAGCTCATGTCTAAATGGTTTGAAAGTTTGTGGATCTGGCGTAACTTAGTAATTAATGAGCAAGACTGAGTGCGAGAGTCCAGAGCTCACGTCCCGCACTTTAAGCACATGTGTGTATTATTAGAGTGACGGTCAATCTCCACTATTCTACTAAAATAAGTCAAGAGTTGGTGCTTATTATATGCTATCTCTGTAGTCTATCAATTCAAAATCACGGACGAATGCCACAAAGTTTGTTGAGACAGACTATAGTTTCAGCTGTCCATATGACCGGTAAACGTGACAGAGGATAGTTTCAGTTGTCCATATGGCCAGAAGACATGACTGACTATAGTTTCAGCTGTCCATATAACCGGTAAACGTGACAGAGGATAGTTTCAGTTGTCCATATGGCCAGAAGACATGACTGACTATAGTTCAGCTGTCTATATAACCAGTAGACAAAACAGACTGTAGTTTCAGTTGTCCGTATGGCCAGTACACAAGACAGACTATAGTTTCAGTTGTCCATATTGCCAGTAGACAAGACAGACTATAGGTTCAGTTGTCCATATGGCCAGTAGACAAGACAGACTATAGTTTCAGTTGTCCATATGGCCAGTAGACAAGACAGATTATAGTTTCAATTGTCCATTAGACAAGACAGACTATAGTTTCAGCTGTCCATATGACCGGTAAACGTGACAGAGGATAGTTTCAGTTGTCCATATGGCCAGAAGACATGACTGACTATAGTTCAGCTGTCTATATAACCAGTAGACAAAACAGACTGTAGTTTCAGTTGTCCGTATGGCCAGTAGACAAGACAGATTATAGTTTCAGTTGTCCATTAGACCATTAGACAAGACAGACTATAGTTTCAGCTGTCCATATGGCCAGTAGACGTGACAGACTATAGCTTCAGCAGTCCATAGGGTCAGTAGACATAACACACTATAGTTGCAGTTGTCCATATGACCGAAAACGTGACAGAGAATAGTTTCATGAATTCCCCTTCATTATCATCAATGATCCTTTAGGAAAGAAATGAAATAATCAGACGGTTTACAAGCATGTCACATCAAGTGTTTCTGGTTCATCGAAAGTAACCGTAACGTACATTGATGAATGTGTTTTAAAAATAAGAGCATTAATGTTACCCACGTTTTCTGCTATATTTGAATTTAAATTATCAATGCTTTTATTGGTTTCACTACATCAATTTACGATAAAACAAAAACTACAAAACTAGAGCATTAAATGTAAATGACACAAATCAGATTTCAGGCCTTTACTGTTTTCTGTTATCCAATGACACTTAAACTTCATCTCTTCTTGATGAACACATTTTACAATAATATCTGCTAAAAATGAAACGTTTTTCATACGCATTTGCTATTTCTATATACTGTACTAAAAGTGCGTAAACATATACAATGGATTTAAAATACATTTTATCTCTTTCACTGTCTTATTTCACATTCTTTAATTTAGACCGATGTCAGGTATATGACTGAATGTTTAGTGTTAACTCAAATACATAAACAAGAGTTGAGTGCGTTATATTAATGCCATTTTGGAGCCTCACAACATCGTTACAGTCCATGTCGCCACGTGTGGTCATTCTCTACATGACGACTGTGCATCTATACAATAGTCCTACATCGTAGATTCCATTACAAAAGGCTTCATTATAAGTCTGCCATGTCTAAAGCAACCACTTCTCCCTGCGTGATTTCCATAATCCATCTAGTGAACAATGACGGTGGTTTCCAAGCACCCGTTAGTCCGATCAAACAAAAATCCACTGGTACTAAAACGTGTAGCATGAACAGTATAATTTCGTATGGAATAGCATGGATAAAAGTTGTAATCTCTAGCTGCTTGAAGTACTCGATTGTTAAACGGAAATGTCGTAGAAGACACTTGTGTACACGGTACTCATGTAGCTATTCCAAACGGAGATACTTCTTTATTATGTTGTGCGTTGTTACCTGTGGCACATGAACGTTTCATAGATTTTCACAATTTAAAGACGTCACACTTTGCTTAACACCGCTGCAGTAGGACTTGTTGTAGATCTCTTTCTGCCTAGTTCTGGTATGCATAGTTCTTTGTTTTTCATATCATTCTGTAGAAAAGATATACCCTCCTGGAGATTCTACATTCCCGACTTGAACACACCCTTATAATCTGAGAGTACAAATATCTTGCGTCGGAAAGAACTGTTACATAACCCTTCCAAAACCGGTCAGTTTTCGAAAACATCACACTACCCAAGTAACGCCAGAAATGTCAAAATGTAGTTCTGATACATTCCATTCTAACGTGACTTTATATCAGCTGTGGCCGGCATGTGACTTGCTAATTTTCACATTCAGATCGTTTTCATATATGCTAAACTCTCGGTATAAATTAAGAAAACGTTTGATAAAAGGTATGAAACGTAGATTTTTTAAGTATGGAAATCAATAAAATAGGAATCTCAAACATTGTGTAACAATTCACTTTCAGCTACCCAATAGCCTTAAGTCCCAAATAATTATGTTTAAAAGATAACTTTCTATTTTTGTATTGGTTTTATCTGCCAATTCTTCTAAATACATTTTAGAGTTGAAATAATGTTTTTTTCACACAATTATAATATTAAAGAGCACATTTTATTGTGAATTCTTAAAGTACAAAAGCATTAAATACTTTAATTAAAAAATGGCACAAAGTAGAATGATACACGTGTACACTGATAATGTTGCCAATCGATATGAGATTTAAAGCTATATCAAAGTTTTCATGAGAAAAGCAATTCAGTGAAATTGTCAGGAATTCTGAAGATGTTTTTGTTCACAAACTTAATTACTTTGAAGATAAATACCCTTGGCTCACTAGTTAGCTATGAGCTTTAATTAGAGGAGTCATCGAATTCCGAGATTTTCATTCCTACAGAGTTGCTATGGCGACACTATTCTAACCAAAACTTTTAACATTTAAACAATGTTCGTCATATTTCATCCTCCCGTTTATATACTGGTTAGTTAAACGTTAGTGTTTTAATTAATTCTGCACCCCACCTTCCACTCCTTCACATTTAAACACAGAAGTTATCATGAAGATGTATCTGGAGCTGGAAAGTTGACATCGTTTACTAATCTTCGTAAGACATTAAACTTATTCGGTAATAGATAAAGATTTAATTTAACGAAAATTAATAAAAATGCTGTATAAAACACACACGATGTTGTTCAGATCATATTTATTTTGTAAAGTTATGGTATAATGCTTTAAATACACAAAAGGTGTTTTGAATCTATTGTATAAATTTACTTATTATGAATATAAAAAATGAAGACAAAAGGTTTCTTAAGATAAAAAAACTATAAAAATAAAAGAAAGAAGATAATTCAAGCACCTTATGGATGAATATTTAGCTTTAATTTGAACAGATGCATACTAACGAAAGGCTTAACTATCCATCATATTCTATTCGCATATAGCAGTTATAAATAATAATTATTTTTATAAAAACTTACCTCCTTAATTGTTTGTTTGTTTGTAATTAAGCACAAAGCTACACAATGGGCTATCTGTGCTCTGCCCACCACGGGTATCGAAACCCGGATTCTAGCGTTGTAAGTCCGCAGACATATCGCTGTGCCACTGGGGGGCTATCTCCTTAATATAAAAAAATCGAATTCAAAAGGTTATGTGCTATAATAAATAATATAGTAAACCTCTGTGTTTAGGATCAAAATAGATTAAGTTCAAAATGGAAGTCCTTTTTCATTTTAGTACTTTTCGTTCTTATTCAGAAGTTACTTAACCAACTTTAAACAAGTTTCATTTATGGGTATGGGTAAACATGATGGGTTAAATTCCGAAATAAATACGACTTGTATAAAGTGCAGTTGGAGGGGTATTAATTTTGACGCTACCTCACCTTTAGAATTTCGTTAGCTGTTTATAGGTGAAATTAGCATGGACTAATAAGCATCATGAACCTATGTTGTACTCACCCATTCAAATGAATGAAGCACGGTTAAAGATTACTGGGCTTGCTACCAATCTTACCGTTCTTTTCTGTAGTGATTTATCATTGTTTGTCGTTGGATATACATAAAATATATAAAGACCAGATTTAGGCGAATTTGTAACAAGTAATAAATCTTCATATGTGCTTAAGACTGTGTAACAATTGCTTATTTCAACTCTAATTCTGAATGAAAATCTACAAAAATCATCGTTATTATGATATGCTTTAAGATATATTGTTTAACTTATTTGAAGTATTAACTTGTTAGTTAAAGGAGTCTAAGGAAAAGAGGAAAGTATATTTTTCATATTAATATCATTTTTCACTTTAGTTTTAATATATACTTTCATATAACGTTAAACCGTGCTCAACAGTAACTCCTAAAACATTTATTCTATTAATTGAAGCTTACGTGTTTTGAATGAGTTTTCAAACATGATAGAGCGGTAATTCTGACTGCGTTGGGTGCGTTGTACTTCCTATAATTATTGTTCTTTATGTAGACATATTCATAGGTGAATATCTTAATCATTACCACAAATACGTTTTACCATAAAGAAATAATTAGTTTCTAAAGCTTTTAGTATTCATATTTCTAATATGGTCGCATATTTTCATATCATCGATTTTTATTTCAGGAAAGTGCCATGCGGCTAAATCAGCAACATTCTCAAGCACAGGATGACGTCTTATTGGAAAAGTAAGTAATAAAACTTTTATGTTAAGTAGCCAAGTTATTCTAAATGCTCTCACGAGATTTTGAATTTAGTTGAAAAGTCATACACACACATAAAGTCCAAAACGAAGCAGACGTATAATCGAAATAGATGAATTTTGAACTATAAAATTAAGAGCAATTTTTATGATGGTATTTAAGCCCTAAAATTTTCAGAATGTTCTCACGTTAACAGTAAAATATGAGCAAGTATATATTTAACGAAAGAGTATTACTTTATCAAGAACATTTTGTTATTGTTTATCCTTGCTTCTAAGCTTCTCTGATAGTTTTTGTTAATAAAGATAATTATGAAGAGCTGCTAAGTAGAGTAAATTATAAATACGTCTATCTTTATAAAAGGAATATATGAAATTTATATGTGTGGTTCTTAATAATGACACTGAGAAACAAAAGGACCACTAAAAGCAAACAGATACCAAACTAATGATAAGGGTAATGCTTCTTCTAGCAGCCATGATAATGTAGTTATACTTCTCATCATCATTTGTTTATTTCTTTTAGTCCTTTACATCCTTCTAAATCTTTATTTTTACTATTTCTTGTTCATTTGATTTTTCTTTTGGTTCTACCGTTCGTTAAACACGGTAGGACTTTTCACCTAATGCATATACAGTGCTTGGTCTGGTAACCATAACAATATAGTTACACTTCTCATCCTCATATGTATATTTCGTTTTTATTTTCTTAGAACTTTAAAGCTCTCTAACTTTTTATCTTATTTAATTTTTATTTTTTGCTATTTCCTCATCTGTGTTGATTTTTCTTTTAATCCTACCTTTCCACGTGGTCAGAACTTTCATCTAATTCATATGTTGTTCTGTTTTCTAAACCACTTTTGTTTTCTATGTCCATTACCAAAACGTGTTTTTCTCCTTTTTGTTGGTTGCTTCACGGTACTTTGTTTTCGTTTGTTTACAAACATTTATTACAACTTTATGTAAAGAACTGGGATTTCATATAGAAACACTAAACGTTCAGGTAACGTTAAAACCGATAAAGGGAAGATCATGCAAAACATCTTATAATCAGACTTTATTATCTACTTCAAAAAATCTCATGTTACAATGCAGAAATTATTTTAGATTTCTCAACTATATAAACCCCCATATAAATACTGGTTTGCTGCCGTTGTTAAAAAAAGCCTACTGTTGAAATTTAAAAATTTAACTTCAGGCTATTACCAAACATATTTGTTCCCCAGAATTCACGCTGGAAAAAAAGTGTTTTCACTACAAAGCACGTTACTCGAATTTAAATATAAGCATTATATATCAAAATAATTTATTATACAACTAGCCGTAACCCGCAAAACATTTGCGGATCATTTTCACGCACGGCGTTTAATCACGCAGACGTAACTTTGTTTAATAAAACTACTTGTACTCAACTTTATTTTATAAAATTACATGTAAAGTAAACAATATAGTATAGTAATGATATTTATAATGGTGTACATAGTATGAAACAGTTATGATCATTCAGTGTATGACATGGTTTTACGAGTAGAAACAAAGAAACTCACAAAAACGAAGAATAAAACTCGTACTTAATAAAAAATTATTGCAAAATAAAGTAAATGTAAAGTTGTAATGAAGGCAAACTTAGCCGATTCTGCAGAAACGTCTGAATGCGTGTTCTCAAAATGATAAGCATGTGGTTTTGAACGAACTGATCATGTGTATTTTAGACCTAAGTAAGTCGAGAAAGTCCATAACAATTGTATTTAGTGTAATGTTTATCTTTAAGATATTACATGCGGCTTAAGGGTTGTTTGTGTGAAATACTTTTCAAATAAAAAACTAAAGTTTAGATCGAAGACAGTCGTCACGTGCCTGATGACAATGACATTGTGCCATTGTGTGGCGTACTCGTTGCATTGAAAAGATTGACTAAGCAAAAAATATGTAAGGTGATTCTGAATGGAAAAGCCAATAGCAATCTGGACTCTTCGGACCAAGGCTTTTCTAATGATATGAGATTTGTAGCGTTTGATCGATAACTTTGCGAGAAAAATTCCGCAAGTGTACTTTTTATATAGATTGTACGAAGTGTACTATTTTACATTAAGCCTCTTTGAGATGAAGGCTGATTCTGGTCTAGTGGTTAGTGTTCCTGGCTGCATATCGGAAGATATAAGGGTTCGAATATGCCTCGCACTTTCATCTGTGAGCGATTTATAAAAGAGATAGTCAGTTCCGTTATTCAGTTAAGAGTAACCATGTAGACATTAGTTGCTGTTAGGATCACTCGTTTGTCTTTAGCTCTAAATCCTATACATGAACCTTGAGTTTTTTTTTGACCGATAGTTCTCCCTTTTATTAGCTTAAATTGTACACCTGAACCTTGAGGTCTCTGATCTAGTCGTTTAACCAGTGTGACACATAAGGTGTCGTTCAGGTTAAAAAAAAATCAACACAAAACTCTTTTTACAATTAGCAAATAAAATCTATGTTTGCACATTTTGTAAAGTAAATTCTCTTTTGAACAAACACGTATAATCCTAGCTTTACAATTACAATGCTTAAAATAGACCTGAACTGTTTACAAATTCTGTGTTTCTTGTAGTGTTTCTTGAATGATATATGGTATTTTAAAACCTGGCCTCTAAGATATGTATGCACTTTTTAAAAACAGCTTTATATTATAAATTCATTTACATCCAATATGTAAACTACGCAGATAAAATAAATATTCAGGTAAAAATCTTAAGTTCACAAAGCTTGTTGAAAGCATTTGCGTAAGCTAAGGAACATTACGGAACGTTACAAGCTTTCATTGTCCTTCTATGTAAACTACCTCCAGATTAGCAAATTTCGTGTTTTATTTGCAAGTCACTTACGTTTCAACGATTAATTACGTTGACTCTTTTATACTAAAGTAAATTTCGCATAGGCCTTCATTTGAGGCTGTTAATTTAAATTTTAATATTTTGGGGAGTGTCATGAATTAGCGAATTTCATTTATCATGCAAATTAGTAACCCAGTTGTATTTTTTATGAAAAGTTAAGCTTAATAAAGAACCATGAAGCTTCTTCTTACTAACTGAAATTGATAGTTTAATTAAAGTAGCTTTATAAGATGTCTTGTCGGGCTTAAAATAATTAAAGCTACGACGTTACAATTGTGTTCAGCATTATATTTATCTAATCGAAGAGAATATTTTAAACTACTTCAAATGTTCATACCATTAAGAAGAGCAAACAAAGATCTTGTACTCATCTGAAACAGAAAAATGTCAGAAATTATGAATTCTAATAGGCCTTAAGGAAGTTATTCTTATAAAGTGACTTCAGTGTGAAAACATGAAGCTGTTAGCTCACAGTTACACTGCTTATATGGCCAGGCCTTTAATATATCATGCAAAATATTCAACGTCTCAGCTCAACTGCACATCTGATTGACTTACAGTGTGAAACTAGAGTTACCTTCCTATGCCTAAACCGTTAAGTCTTTGACTTATCCGTTTAACTCATCTGTCACTTATTTTTCAATGTACTAAAACCAGCTAAAATGTCGGTTCGCGCATTTTATGAACGTTTAGTTTATATTGCTTATTGCTAATAAAACTGGTGCAAAATGAATATTTTGTGCTTATAGTTTGATAACAGTAAAGTTAAATTAATGTAGATTTATTCTTGTGTTTTCTTATATCACTTCAAACTACCCGAATAGCAACAATTAAAGTCACTAAGCAGTAATTATTTAATGATAATAATTGTCTGCTGAATTATATATAATGAATATGTTCTTTTCAAACTTTTGTTCTCAGAATTATCCGCATGGAAAGAGTATAAGCAATAACAAAAAATGATCTTTGATAACTGCCTGCTGAGATTATTTCGTGGCGAAAAAATGAGAGGAGACTTAATTTTAGAAACTGACGTATTTTATATATTTTCTTCCTGTTCAATCAATAGTGCCGTATTAATAAACATAAGATTTCTTAAAACTTGTACTAATAATTCTGTCGTATTTAGTTATTTATTTGGCTCATATTGATTTATTATTTGTTTTTGTTTTCAGTCAACAGCTGTTGACGGTAACTCTGAAGACTAATCTGAACAGCACCTGTAGTGGAACTTTGCCGAATATTTACAGGTAAGAGTGCAGATCTCTCGAACAAAATATCAGTTGAAATATGAAACTATATATGCATGAGGTTTTTAAAAATGTGCGATTTCCCATGTTTTGGCGTCTTGTTATTTCTACTTCAGTTTTTAATTCATTATAACTTTTTTTCTACTTTGTAAAACATCACTGAATGTAGTGATGATCAGCGGAACCTATAATTGGAATAACTTAATGTTTAGCTTCTGGATAAGTGACTTTTAAGTTATTCCATTTTTAGACTCGTATTTTGTACACTGTTCACGAAGTATGTTCTTTTGTAACCCTTCCGTTGGAATGTTGGTTCTAAATTTACAAGCACAAGCTAAAGGGTTCACATAACAATGGTCAGACAACATAACACGTTTTTTGTACTCCTCAGTCAGTTAAAATTTATTTCCAAATAGTGCAATGCTACAATAAACAAATATGATATAAGGCATAATAATTCACTTTTACACAGTCTAGTTGGGTAGGAGAAACGGTTAAAGTTGCCTGTGTGCTATATTTTTCTCTTTTCTATAAATATTCCCAGAAAACACGTTAAGCATTAATCCAATAATAAATTATACATCATGATGGTTGGTTCCTCATTTTTTTTTCTAAATTTCAGAAAAGTGTTTAAGTATCTTATTCGAGCCCCCCCCCCAGTGGTATATCTGCGGACTTACAATGCTAGAAACCGAGTTTTGATACCCCCTAATGGGCAGAGCACAGAAAGCCCTTTGTATATCTTTGTGCTTAAACTACAAACGAATTCTTACTCGTTTCAGTCTTAAGAAAGTCCTTTCTCTTCAGCAGTTTTTCAGTTTTAGGCTAAAGAAAGGTCTTTTAATAAGTGTTTTGCAAAAACTGTTTCTATTTGTAGTGGGAAACCTTCGGTGTGATACTAAATAATCAAATAGCTGAGTAAATAATTCAAAAAGTTAAAAATATAAAAAAATGCAAAGTTTCACTCAGCTTAAAGTGAAGTCTTCAGGTTTCAAATAATCATCTTAACTGATGACTCCACGGTGATCCGGGGGAAAATTGTAAATTATTTCTTTGTAATATATATCCTAATGTAAATGTGTCGGTAAATATTCATTTCAGCAAAGGGACTTTCTACTTGTTTCAAATGTGACTTTGTGTTTATTCTATTGTTATTTTATGAAAGAATTTCTGCGATCATTAGAGCATTTACACATAACTTACTTTAGGTTTTTATCCTTAATATATTGGTTCTAACTCAAATTATTATATTTTAATCGGAGTAAAAGTGCTTGTTTTGTTTGTTTGTTTGGAATTAAGCACAAAACTATACAACGGGCTATCTGTGCTCTGCCCATCACGGGTATCGAAACCCGGTTTCTAGTGTTGTAAGTCCGCAGACATACCGCTGTGCCACTGGGAGGGGGGCAAGTAAGAGTGTATTTCTATTACAGGAATCAACATGTCATGAACAAAGCTCCAACACTGATGTGCATTGATATAGAGAAAACTATAAAGTAATTTAACAAGATTTTACGGTTCTATAAAGATATTTATTGAGCATATTAAATTTCCCATACTTTCTTATGTCTATTCCTATCTATACATTCGCCCATCAGTAATTATAATTTATTTCTCTTCTCTAGTTTCAACATTCAAATATGCTAGGTACAAACAAGTAAATGACTTATCTACAAAAATATAAATGATAAAGTATGTTTTAAAGTTATGTAAGTATTATACAATAACATACTTTGGTTTGATAAAAAAGACACCATAGTAAGAATCCTAAATGAACAATAATTCCATTACTGCTATAAGTCACTTTCTTTTGAATATTGGAAAATACAGGTTGAGATTCAATATGGATAGATTCTGATGTACATTTCAGGGAATTGAACACTCTTCCTCAGTGGCATTATTACCATTGAATTTTAGTTTTTCATGTTCATTGTCAGTAAATATTGTTTCAAGTAAGACCATTTTACTATATATGTTCTTGTAAAACGTGACTGATGACTGAAAATGAGATTTCTCTGTTGGTTTAGTTTGGTTTTCTCCTTAGTAGTTTTGTTAGCAAAGGAACTTTTAGTAATGTATCTTGTAATTGAAAGGAAAAAGATTTTACAAAGACTTTCTTATAATTCTTTAAACTATAAAAAATATCTAAACTACACGTATTAGTTATTCTATGTTTTTGAAATCATTTTAAGTCTTATTAAGTTTAATGAAAGGGATTCTATGATATTTAATAAAAAAATAGAATCATGAGTAGAAAAAATTTTCAAAATATCATATATTATTAGATTAATTTTACAATATTCCATTTAATTGCATGTTTTTACCTTGTTGAATGAAAAATCACATATAGCCTATTTTTGAAAAAAAAATCGCTAAAACGCATTAAGACAGCATACGCCAATAATTAGATTACAATTTAGGTAATCATTGCGTGTGTATTTCATACAGGGAGCAGCAGAATTGGAACAACCATCAGAACACGGATCTCCAGGAAAACAATATTCAGTCACCAATCTATGACCCTAGGTCAGCATCTCCACTGGAAGATGGTAGCGAACAGGCAATGTCACTCTCCTTATCCGAAGACTTGTCGAAAAATGGAAACACGGAGGATGAAAGTTTCTCTGATCTAGAATATTCAGACAGTAGTCCTCTTCTTGATGGAGAGTTAAGCGAAAGTAGCCCTCTGTTGAAGAGGGAAAATGCAAATGTTAACACCAACGATCATGTAATTAATGGCGATTGTTGTAACAACAACAAGTTGGCATCTCGAGAAAACATCACTTGTGAAAACCCATTTGATTCGATATCCCAAGAATTTTCTGATTCAGAAAAAGTTTGTTTGCTGAAGAATTCTTTCAATAACACTAATAACGCTAATCATAATGATAATAATGGCGTCATTGAAACTTCGATTGTTATTCTTACACAAGCTCCACAAAACAGTGTAGCAAGGGATAAGCCTTTCGTACAAGAGAATCAAAGTAATGAAGCTTTTCTAACATGCAAAAACAATAATTTGTGTATTAATGATTGCAATGAGTCTCTTACGTCTGATAAAAATTATTTCTGCGACATTAGCCCAATGAGTGTGACAAGCTCAGAAGATAACGTGGAAATGAAATACATTGGTGACTGCTCAAAGGTCACTAATGAACATAACAACAATGAAGAATCTTCTGGGCAAGAAAATGTAGGCGTACTCATTGAAATTCAGGAATCTGAGCCGACTATTGGTCACGACACTAATATATTGAAAATGAAAGATAACTTGCCGAAAAATGTCACCAAAAACGATAAACTGAGACCTGAGAATGCTGATATTATAGAACCTCAAGGCGATTACAAAAAGCTAGATTTAAAGAATCTCAATCAGTGTGATAGTAACAGAAGTGGTGTAAACTTATCATCGCCTAACAATAATACTTTCTGTCTTCAGAATTACAAGGAAAAGGTGAAAGTTTCAGAGCATTCTGAAGTGTTAATTAACGATACAAGAGAGACGTCAGTTTCTTCTGATATTGAAAATATACAAGGAATTCAGTTTAATTCCAAGGGTCTTCAAATAACAACAAAGGCTGCTTCGTGTGATGATGCTGCTCCAAAAAAGTTAGATACTTTTTTGAAGATACTTGATGAATCACCAGAAAAAAAGTCACTTGCATTGAAAGAGAAATGCAATGACATAAAGAAAGAAGTAAGAGAATCTAATGACGAACAAGGAAATTCGAAATCAAAAAACAAACAATCTTCATCTATCTTGGCTTCTATTAAACCCTTCCAGATTCATCATCCTAGCGGTCTTTCTGTACTCTCATCCCTTCGGCAGTACGAATCATCCGGATCCAAACAAAATAATCGTCACTTAAATCAGTGGTCAATTAAGGAAGATAATTCTATTTTTTCTGAAAATACCTTAAACAATAACAGCATTACTAACAGTATAGTATATAAAAATATGGTGGAAAAGGTGACTAAAGTACCACCGTCTCAAAACACGAAACCCAGTAACAATATTCAAATTCCACCATTGAAACATTCAACGAACTCTGTTACTTCTAGCAACAAAGCCAAACCTAAACAACCACAGGATTTCTTAGGAAACTTTGACGTATATAATATTGAAACGGCTATGCCCACCATTGACTGGGCTGCAATGGAAGCTCATCTAACTGAAGCTGCAAAGGAAACAAATTGGTATTTACGTGTAAGTATTTCTTGTTATTTTAACAATGTGTTTTACAGTGGTAATTTTTGAAAATACCAACAATTAGAATTAATGACGAACATTTTTATTTAAATGGTATATATTTTTCCCTTTTCTTGATATATAGTTTTGTAACTCACTATAATGAAGTTATAAAAATGGCATCTTATCTTAACATTTCGACTATTTGTGTCTTTTGGATCCTTATAACAGAGAAAAGTAACTGAAGTTCCTTCAAAATTTGAATAATCTTGGGAGTTTTAAAATTATCGATACCTTGCGCACGTTCGTCCTAAGGAACGTTGTTACCTTAAAAGTTCTACAAGTTTTTATTCACTTAGAAAAATTCGTGTTTTAATATTTTTAGTTTTTTAATAAGATAACCCTTTTGATATTTTTGTTCTAAAAATTTATGATCCACTTTAGAATAGTTATCTGCGTATTAATAATGTTTTACATGATTTAACTTATGTTTATTATTAGCCTACTAAAATCGTTTTGCTAAAAATATTACTGTTATATTTTTGCATAAATTTTGTAAAGGTTCGAAAAGTCCGAAATACAGTATATAACAATCTATATACTACTAATGTGCCCCCCAGTGGCACAGCGGCATGTCTGCGGACTTACAACGCTAGAATCCGGGTTTCGATAGCCGTGGTGGGCAAAGCACAGATAGCCCATTGTGCAGCTTTGTGCTTAATTACAAACAAACAAGCAACCAAGCAAACAAAACCTTTATAAAATAATGAAACATGCTAAAAACCCGTATGTTTTAATACCAAACTGCTGTTAGAGCTTCATGCATATGCAATGGTTTTGTAATCATATGATATGTAAACCTAACCTAGTTTTTAATTGCATAGACACGTTTAAAATAAACTTTCCGTGAAGTTCTGTTTCCTTAGAGAATATGTTTAGCTGTCAGATAATTTATCTTGATTATAAAAAATCAGTTTAGTAACTTTATTTGATAAAACATTAAGAAAATAAAATTCTTACAATGTGCACAAGTACCAATTTTTCTCATGATATCTTCTTTTGCATTTTTTTAAGAAACTGACATTTTACTAAAATATTTTCATATTAACATAAATTGAGACGGCATTGGGCTGATTTAAATCAACTTTGTATCAAAATTTTAAGAAATAATAGCGTTTTATGTATTGCCTATATTTATTAAAATTATAACACTTAGTTCGGCTGCAAAGCATCCCTCATTTTTAACTATATATTTTTGTGTTACTAAACTATATAGTTGTCCATTTCTCTGCCCCCAGTAGCACAGCGGGATGTCATCGGACTTACAACGCTAAAAATCGGGTTTCGATACCCGTGGTGAGCAGAACAAAGTGGCCTGGCATGGCAGATGGTTAGGGCGCTCGACTCGCAGTCTGTAATTCGCGGGTTCGAATCCCCATCCCACCAAACACGCTCGCCCTTTCAGCCGTGGGGCGTTATAATGTACGGTCAATCCCACTATTCGTTAGTAAAAGAGTAGCCCAAGAGTTGGTGGTGGGTGGTGATGACTAGCTGCCTTCCCTCTAGTCTTTTACTGCTAATTTAGGAACGGATAGCGCAGGTAGCCCTTGTGTAGCTTTGCGTGAAATTAATAACAAACCAAGCCATTTCTCCACGTTGTGTTCATAACCAGTGTTCCTTCTAAGATGCGCGGCCGCATAACAACCAATTAAGTGTCGCGCACTTCATTATTGCAGCCGCACGCATCTTCAGTAATGGTGAGAAGTTTCAACATGTTGACAGCATTAATGACACTATCAGTCGATAGGCCTAAAGCCCAAATAACCAACTGCTAGCATTACAAAGTGGCCTAATGATCCAAAAGGGTCAATGGTCTAAAAATACCCCCCCTCCTAGAAATATATAAAAAACTACTGGTAGCGCATACTACTGATACTGGTGCACATGAAAAAATTCATTACGCACATGGATTGAAAAAATTAGAAGGAACATTGTTCATAACAATTCCACATGGTTCGGACTCTGCTGCTCTTCCTTCTCCTTTTCTCGTCTTCGGTGACGGCGGCCTTTTGGGTTTTGTTCTTCGGCTTTTTTCTTTCTCTGCTTTCCTCCGGGAAAAATTTCTCGTTAACAAATACCATTTTGCTATTACAGTTGCAACAACTCTTTTGGTAATTTTACTCTCTTCCACGTTTGGGGGGAGGAGAAACTTCAGTTTCTGAACACCCCTGGTTAGTTGTTTGAGTCCTAACATTACTTTTTGTTTTGAGGCTGTAATAACATTTAAACTTCAATTACTGTCAAGGATTTGGATTCTCTGTGTTGATAATTATCGGTATTTAAGTGAAAGTAGTTCTTTCACACTACACTCAGCCTTTGCTGGTTTTAAAGAAATAGTCTTTGTTGAACATTAAACTGTCACGTCTCATATACGAAAAGCACCCGTGTTACTTCTTATCATAATTACGGTAGTACTTATAGTAGGAATGGACCAGATGTGCAATACAAATTAAAATCTCAAACACACTCCAAACAGCATGTAAAACACTTTCAAGGCGCTTTATACACACACACTGTTGAATAGTAAACAAACCAACTGCAGAGTAGAAAGCCACCAAAGCACTTGAGAAAGTCGGTAGAGTAAAAACAAAAATTTCACAAAACCACAACTTTGTCAATCTGACTATCTGACTGACTGACTAATGTTGTTGGAAAGGCATAGCTCTCTCCTGTCTTCACCTTATGCAAATCTAAATGCACATGATTGAATTATGCTACTTTGGCTAAAAGAGTTTTTTTTAGTTTTACTTATAATCTTGGTAATAATAACTAATAACAATAACCATTTTACAACACTACTAACGAGTTAACAATACACTAGTAGCCATATTCTATGATTACAAGCATGCCCTGTGAGTTGCCAAGTAACAACCCGCCTACATATCACGTACGGGTGCACGATTGCTTCTGCGCACGTGCGCTACGTGATCAGCCTGCAACTGTATCAGCTAGATAAAAGAAACGTGGACTATGTAGATTCTCTAGATCTAGGTTCTAACTATGATTTCACCTTTGAAATCAAAGTTTTCAGTTCTATACATCTGACTTGAGGTGTTGGACAAAGTAATTCTATCATAGCAGTAGGTGCCTAAGACGTGAGGACGAATGCTACCACTGCCGCAGTCTGACAGGGCTTTGCTCGAGGGCTCTGGACTGAAAACAAGAAGTTGTATAATTTACCTTTAATTTTTTTTCCAAGCGAAGTGTGACCTATTGACATCTAAAGTTGTACTTGAAACAGTGCAATTCCTAAAATATGACTTTTAATGAAACAGAACAAGAGAAAATGAGAAAATCTTATGTTGATAACCTTGAAAAGTCTTTGTACCAGCAAAGAGAGCATTACTGCAAGAATAGAGATAAAGCTAGAAAACAGTAATGCTGAATATGCAAAACAGGATTTAGCAATTTAGCAGAGAAAAGACTGCTACCCTGGCTATTTGGAAGAAAACTATAGCAAAGATATCAGAAGAAACCAGGAAATGTTAAGATATAGCTTTAATGGGCGGAACGATAGCCACACCCACTTTGAGGTTGCACTGTGTTAAAAACCACCAAGTGATATAATGTTACCCACCCATTCCTATCTTGTTTCCTTACTTTTTGGCGCTCCCATTCCTACTTCCTAATGTTTTTATTTAAAAAATGTTTACACTTGTCTTATTGAAATCTGTGTATTAACCAACTTTACTCGGTGACTCTTAAAAGCTCTTAAGAACAGCTTTAACCTGCTTTATATTCTAATTTTGAATGCGTACTATGATGTAAAGGTAGCCTAGTTTTTAATTATACAGAAAGATATAAAAAAATTCTGAGTAAATTGTGTTTTCATAATCTTCTTTACAGAAAACATCTATATATTTTTTCCTTCTTAAAAGTAAGTTACTTATAGCTTAAGAAACTTAGTTGCTTTATATGAGAAGATAATATATTTTCAAGTAGTGTGCTTGAAAATCTATAATACTTAGTTTCTTATTTTTAGTGTCGCTAGGAATAAACCTCTAAGGTATGTGATTTATAAGAGATCTGCCAAAACTGTGTTTTAAGTTATTTTTAACGGCGAACCATTCATCCACTCGTTGTTGTTTGCTTAGTGGAAAGCTTCATAATGGATTATCTGCACTCTGTCCACCGCATGAAATTGAGCTCCGGATTTTACCGTTGTAAGCCCGTAAACTTACCGCTAACCTAATAAGCTAATGTGACTCTTTTACTTTTTCACTATATTAATGAGTTGTTTATTCTAATTTAGTTTGTTTTTGTCAAAGGTTCGAAAGATAACAAGCTAACAGGTTATCATGGTGAGAATGCCTTTTACAAGTTGGCGAAGCATGATTATACTTAATTATGCTTGTCATAAGACGTTAACATAATAGGTCTAATACTAACGTCTTATGACAAGTATAATTATGCTGACAAGCTAACCAAAGCTGTTTTTTATATACTTAAAAAACGAGTTTTCTAACTTTGGTTTTCATAGCTTTTGTGAAAAGAAATATGACTTACGATTTTGTCAAGCCTGTTTTTTTTTGCACATTGCTCTACTGGAGAACTGTTTAATTAGGTTCACTGTTTGCCTTAGTATTAAGTAGTAAGTGCTATACGTTTTTATGCATAAAATGGATAGATTATCCTTACAGTCTTTGAATGTAATGCTTCACCAGAAGGTTTAAAAAAATACGCATTAATAATACAAACAATTTATCTAGGATTTTTTTTGCATACATAAGAGGTAAACATATTGTGTAGAACTTCAAAAATGTATTAAGGAGACACTTATCATGCTTCATGTTATCTACCAAAACTATGGTGTTCTCATCGCCAGTGTCACAAAAAAATACTTGCAGCTGGTATTTTATCATCAAACTTTCTGTTTTATTTTCCTTGAAAGAAACTTCACGGCACGTCTCATTATTGATCAAGAATTCAAACTAAGTCTACCAAGTTCAGAGTGAATTACAAACATATTCTATTAACTAAAAGCGCAAAGAATCTGGTTGAATAGTTGTTCCGATACCGAGGAATAATACACCCAATATTATACATCTGTATAGAAAAGAACCTATGCAGATGCAGGTGTATGTGCTTTTAGTGTTTCACATTGTTTTTTAATCTTACTTATTGTGCTGATTCGTCAGGAAACATCGACTATTTTCTTTACTCATTTTGAATCTTACTTAAAATCGTTGACAGGTTGGAAGTTTCCCCGGCAAATATAAAATATTGTAAAAAGGGAGAAGGAACTCTTTGTTGCTGTTTAATCATGAATATTCTGAGATTTTCACATTTGTGTGCATTACTTAATGCGAATAAAATAATTATTGTTCAACTAAAATGACTATGATCATACTGAAATAATAACTTTAGCAGTAGTAGTGAACATCGTCACTCACGGTTAACAACTATGTCATTATTATATTAAGATTGTATTTCAATATAATCAAAGAAAGTTCTAATAGAAACAAACATAAGATTGTTAATTGATTACATTTAAAAAAAAACATTGGCACAGCGATATGTCTGCGGACTTACAACGCTAGAAACCGGGTTTCGACACCGTGGTGGGCAGAGCACAGATATTCCATTGTGTAGTATTGTGCTTAATTACAACCAACCAACTATACTTTAAAAAAAAAATACATTTCTTTCTCGCAAACGTAGTTCTGGTACTTTTCCTAATTACTATTTGCAGAAGTTTTGATTTAAATTTATTCTTAATACTTTCCTTCTTGAAATTATTTTTAAGACTCACTTCCTCTTTCAATGAAAGATGAGACACGCTGCAACTTTAACAGTTGGCCTTTTGCGTCTTTACGTTAATATAATTAGTTGGTTAAAGCATCAGGGCCGACACTAAGGGGGTATTTTGGTGGGCTTTGCACCCACAAATATCACTCTGGCCCACCCGAGATCCTTCTTCCTTCTTCTTCGGCTTTAGCAGTGATCGCTGTCCTTTACACATGTTGCCCTCCTCCAATCATCTTTGTTCATTGCAATTCCTTTCTCTTTGTTTCATCCCATCTTTCTAACGCTTTACTGGTGTCCCCTGTCGTCTCTTGCAAGCTACTGGCAGCTCTAATACTCCCTTTATTAGTTGATCTCGTTCTCTTCTCTTCACGTGACCGAACCACCTAAGTCTCGCTTCTCTTGCACTTTCCTCAATTTCACAGACGTCTGCCATTTCCTTGATTTACTTATTCGTTCTCCTCTCTAAGCGACAATCCCAATAGTCACCTCAGAATTCTCATTTCTGTTCTTATCAACAAGCCTTCTTTCTTCTTCAAGGTCCAGATCTCGGCTCCGTCTTGGCTTTCAGTGCCCCTCGTAACTAACCTTTTGTCACAGACGACTGTGGCTACTTCCTTCCATTCTCCCTAGTGCTTTAAAACATAATATTGTTAATTTAGATTTTTAAATCGTTAAGAAGAAAAAGACAAATGATCTGCTACTCCCCTCCCCGAAAGGAAGAGAGAGGCTGGACCCGGGCCCGTAAAAGCATATTTAAAATCTTGCTTGTCTGACAACCAGATTGTCTATGGCACGAGTTGTAAAATCAATGGTCACTTAAAACTGATAACAAAGACAAGGCAGAATTTGTTGGTGTATGAAGTGGTTGAATATATCTGGTTTGAATAATTCTAATTTTAAACTGGGCTTAAATAATACTCGTTTAAAAACAAACTAATTGAACGACACATAAGTTATTAATGCTGATTTAACATACATTTTGTCAGACTTAAACAAAAGTGTAGAATTGATAATACACTCAAAGAAAGCAAATAATAATTATTATTGTTGATTACTTCTTAAGACAAAGTTTAAAGCTGTTTCTTTCAAAATATCAATGAGTTGAAGAATAACATTAAAATATGGGACATTTTTGTGCCTTTAACTGTTCTAAATCGATGAAGCTGATTTTGTTTTGTATTTTAGCCGCGTCATAAAGGCTCATTTGTTTGTTTGTAATTATGCACAAAGCTACACAATGGGCTATCTGTGCTCTGCCCAACACGGGTATCGAAACCCGGTTTCCAGCGTTCTATGCTCCAGACCTACCGCTGAGTCACCAGGTGGCCAATAAAAGAG